GACACAGGCGCACTGGGGGAGGACTGGGCAGTGGGTAGCCCAGTGTGCGCACACACAGACACAGGCGCACTGGGGGAGGACTGGGCAGTGGGCAGCCTGACATGTGCACGTGGCTGAGAGTCTCTGAATCAGCTTCCAAAAGATGAGAACTAAGGGAAGAGAGTCAGAGAACAGTGATTTTTACTTAACTCCTTGTGAAAACAAGATTTAAAATTTTAAAGACTTAAAAAAAAATATAATGCTTTCCTATTTATTAACATTACAAAAAGCTCTCCTTCCCCCTAGTCCTAGCCTTCCACCCCTCCAGGCTGTTCCCCCATTGTCTTCAGATTAATATTCCTAAAGCCCAGCTCCAGATCTGCTGCGTCTGTGCCCACCAGGCCTCTGCTCCCTCACCTCCTCTCTGTTGGCGTGGAAACGTTATCCTTCAAGAGCTATTTCACATGCCACATCCATCCCACCAACCTCCACCATTTATCATTGTGTTGACTCGGCTCATGGTAGCCCCTTGCTTATCAGAATAGAATAGGATTAGCAATACCTGATTTGGGAAGTAGTCTACCACCAGTGCTTTCTTCTCAAACAGCTTTGAGTGGACTCAACACCTCCAGCCTTTTGGTCAGCCCTTGAGTATATTCACTGTTTGCACCATCCAGAGATGCCCACCTCCATCTCCAAGGCTTCCGGTTGCCCCAGTCAGTTACCATGTCCTTATCAGCCTGAATTCTGGCAGCGCATTGTACCTCTAGCTATCATTTGTAATTCTACAATGATCATTGCTGCCAAACTCATCATTTTAACCACCTATTTCCAACAATTGTTCTTGCTTGTATCTTTTCTAGACGGTGAACATTCACTAACCTTTTGAATGCTTTAGCCATTGTCAGTTACCCTAAAACATACAGGTTTTGACCAGTTCTTTCCTAATTTAACTGTAGTAGAAAGTGAGGGAAAGAAATTTCAAATTACGCAAAAACTGATGGTGTAATTTGGGGTTGTGTCCTCAGGTCTGTTAGCCTTTAGATGGGGTTGGAGCTCCCCCTCTAACTTGACTTGACACCTTTTTTTTTTCAGGCTTGGCCTACGTCATTGGAGCAGTGGTGGTTCTGGTCATCATCTTCGTCATCGTTCTGTTCATATCTCTGTACAAATGTAGGAAGGCAGGAGGACATCAAAATGGGAAGGAAAACTCTCCTCTTAATGTTGCATGAAGGAAGCACCCCTGGAGTTTCCAGCTACTGCAGGTGTTGTGTTGCCCTGTGACCAAGAACTTTGAAGAGAACAGACTATATGACCAATCAGTACTTTGGGCCCTGGAGACCCTGTGGGTTCAAAGAGAGCTCTTTATTGAACTTGTCAATCACTATTGGCATTCTAGTTTTGGAACTGCCATTAGTCACTTTGGAATGTAACAAATGGTACAACTAATTACATGTGGAGGGGTTTTGTTTTGTTTTGTTTTGTTGGTTTATTTTTGTTTTTATTTAAACACAATAGCACCTTTTGTATATAGCATGTTTTCGACTGTGTGTTCTGTACTCAAACTGAAACCACCCTCATCTAAGCAAAAAAGAAGAAATACCTGAGAAAATGCTGTGTGGGCATGTGGAGAACTTTTCTGTGACCGACATTAAGGCACATAAGAAGTGGAAATCAGGAGTTGGGAATTATTTAGGACTTTTCCACCATATAGCTATCCTTTCAAAGAATGGTGTTTAGTTTGAGGTTTTTTGGTTTGTTTGTTTGTTTGTTATGTTTCAAAGCCTTTTAAATGTTTTTATATAACTTGTGTTAAATGAAGAGGACTTCATTTTGGACACTTATTGTACGCTACATTTTAGCACTTTAACTGACTTAAATGCTGTTGATTGTTTAATCAACAGTTGACAGTTAACTATTTTTATTAGACTACTATAAAAGAAACTACATTGAGCTTGTGATTTAAGGTACTTAAAGCTTCTATAAGGAGCAGTGGTGGTATAGAGTGTAATGTATAAGGCTGCTAAGAGGTCAGTAGTTCAAATCCACCAGCTGCTCCTCAGGAGGAAGATGGACAGTCTTCTGTAAAGATGTACAGCTTTAGAAACCTAATAGATGGTGGATATGAGTCAGAACTGACTCGATGATAATGGGTTTAAAGTTTTTATGGTCAACATTGCATAATATAGTTTTTTAAAGAAAATTTTGTATATGGGAGTTTTCTATTTATATAGATAATATTGCTATGTTTATATATATTGAAATAATTTATTTAATATACATTTTATAAATAAAGGTGACTGGGAATTGTGACTCTTGCATAATTTTTATATATTTTCTCTTTGTTATTCACGATTTGGTCTTTTATTAGTCAGTTTTGCTGTGGTAACAACTGACCCTAAAATCTCAGTGGATTTCAATAACACATCTCTATTTCTCAATTCCATTGCATTTTAGTGGCTGCTGGTTGACTGGCTTTTCTCAATGTCTGCTCAATTCCAGGACTTGGGCTAAGGAGGAGCCTCTGTTTGGATTATGGCAGAGAAAAAACAAAATAAAGCAACACTGGTATCATCAGGGAGCTATGTCCTGGACCATTTAACTGCCTCTTAAAATTCTTGCTGCATATTGGCGAAGTGTCACTGTAGCTCACATGCCACTATTCCAAGCAAGTCAAGTGACCGAACCTTTGTGACTTTACCTACTAGGCAAAACCATAAATCACAAGGCCGTGGCAGAAATGTGTGGTCTCCTTAGGGAGAAGGGAAGGCATCGTCCAGTCTACTGCAGATAGAGTTCTTTCTTCCCAGGGGTTCAGGATAATGGTTGAAGAGGAGAAAGGAAGACAAAGTCTTTATCTTATTGCTGTAAAAGAGAAAGAGCAATGTCATATAAAGCACAGAAAGCTGTAAGTGGAATGGTCTCTGGAGTTTTTGAAAGCATAAACCTAATTTTAAAAGTATAAACAATGAAGCGAGCTCATGTTTATAGCACTTTTAAGGTACAAGCAGATGGTGGGGTTTGATTGGTCTTAGGGAAATAGAACATTACTTTCCTTTATACAGTTTAGGAACTCTGGTGGCACACTGGTTAAGTGCTCAGCTGCTTAACTGAGTTGGGTGTTGGTGCTCACCAGCCCCTTGATGGGAGATTAGGTAGTTCTTCTCTGACCTATAGTGTCAATTTATAGGTTAAATTTAAGACATGTTTATAGTAGGTAGTAAGCAATAGAGTCTGTTTGAATATAAATAAAATTTGTTCTAGTGCTTTGCCAACTATATTAAAAGAGGATTTTAATTGAGACATGAGGATTTTAATGAGAAGCAAGGATTTTAATTAAAAGGGATATTTTAATTGAGTCTCTCTGGTAGTTGGCTGAACCAATCTGTTGCTTTCCTTCCCTGCTGTAGAGCTCTGGTGGCATAATCTTTAGGCAGTTGTGCTGTCAACCCAGACAGGGCTTCTCTAATAATTCAAGGTCACCATAGGCTTATCAGGAGAAAGATGGCCAATCTTCTGTGCATTTGTTGTTGTTGTTATGTGCTGTTGAGTCACCCGCAACTCAGAGTGACTCTATGTATTATAGGTCTGAACCTGCCTTATCCTGAGCCAGTCTCACTGACTCTGACACACTTAACCCCATTGTCCCAGTTACCATGTCAATCCATCTCATCCAGGATCTTCTGCTCCTGCAGGGTCCCTTCTCCCTTTTAAGCATGATGTACTTCTCCAAGGACTGGTCCCTCCCTGCCATGTGCCCAAAGTATGTGAGATGGAGCCTCAAAGTCCTAGCTTCCAAGGAGAAATTTGATTTCACCCTCTCCAAGAGGAAGAATTTACATTTGTGCACTGACAGCTTCTGAAAACCTATGGGAGCATCAGCTATGAGTCTTTTTCAACTTAGGAATGAGTTTTTTGCAGTTTTGAGTCAAATGCTGGATAGATATAGCCTAGAAAAAACACCCAGAGGGTATGGCCCTCTGAAAGTGTTCCCACAAAGGGATCATTGAGCAAGCATTAGGATGAGAGCCACCCTGTGAACAATGGAAATAAACCTTGTCCTATCCTCTCTGTCATCTCTGATATACTTGAGCTCATTGTTATAGTCACTGTGTCAATCTATCTTGTTGAGGGTCTTCCTCACTTTTGCTGCCCCTCCACCTTTCCAAGTATGATGTGTTTATCCAAGGACTGGCCCCTTTTAAACAACATGCTCACAGTATGGGAGATAAAGCTTCACCATCCTTGTCTTCAAAGAGCACCCTGGTTGCATTTTCTTTAAGACATATTTGTTCTTTTAGCATTGAATGGGATATTCACCATCCTTCTCTAACACCGTAATTGAAAGGAATCAATTCCTCATCAATCATTCTTAGTCATTGTCCAACTTTAAGACGCTTAAAAATTAATTGGGGGAAAAAAACATAGCTTGGATGAACCAGGTGTATTTAGACTGATTCTGTTGCTCTCTAGCATTTTTGAGAGGTCCTTGACAATCGATTTTCCCAATGTAACATCTCATTTGGTTTCTTGTCTGCTGGTACCACGGGTATTGATTGTGGATGCAAATAAGGTTAAATTGTTGACAATTTAAATCTCTTCTCCATCTTTTTTTTCTTTTTTATTATTAATTTTAATGAAAGATTACAGAGACTTTGGATTCAGATTCATCCATTGTTGTACTTTTCTCCCTGCCCAAACTCTCCTCCCACCCCCCTCCCCCAGTTAGCTTTTCTCTTTGAGAAGTAAAATTCTTTCATTGTTATACTATCCCTCCCCCCAAGTCCTCTCCGCTGTGCAGCCTTTGTTCTGGACTCCTGTCATGACCATAATACCTAATCATCTATCTCTTTAAAACAGTTCTCTCCTTCATCTGTTTCAATGCAGTATATATAATTTATTCCACCTTTCTCAGTCTTCCCCCAATCCCAATGTCAGTCCTGTTTTACAACAATGGCACCATGCAGTATTTGTCCTTTTGTGACTGAGATATTTCACTCAGCATAATGTCCTCCAGGGTCACCCATTCTGAATAATATTACATGAGTTCCTTGTTTTTCAATGCAGTGTAGCATTCCATTGTGTGAATATACCACAGCTTCTCCATCCATTCATTTTTTGATGGGCACTTAGGTTGTTTCCAACTCTTTGGTATTATGAACAAAGCCACGATTAACATGGGTGTGCATATATCTGCTTGGGTAGTGGTTATGGTTTCTTTGGGGCATGTTCCCAGGAGTGGAATTGCTGGATCAAATGGTATTTCTATTTGCAACTTTTTGAGAAAGTGCCATACTGCCTTCATAGTGGTTGCACCATTTTACACTCCCACCAGCAATATGTAAGGGCTCCAGTTTCTCCACAACCTCGTCAGCATTTGTTGTTTGCTGTTCTGTTAAATTTTGCTATTCTTACTGCAGTGAGATGATATCATATAGTTGTTTTGATTTGCATCTTTCTTAAAGCTAGGGATTTTGAATATTTCTTCATGTGTTTATTGGCCATCTGAATGTCTTCTTTGGTGAAGTGTCTGTTCATATCCTGTGCACATTTTTCAATTGGGTTATTTACCTTTATCTTCTTGTGGTGCTCAGGTATTTTGTAAATTCTAGATATAAATCCCTTATTTGACATGTTGTTACCAAATATTTTTTCCCAGTCTGTGGCTTCCTTTTTACCCTGTTGGAGAAGTTTTTGTATGTGCATAGGGATTTGATTCTTAGAAGGTCCCATTAATCTATTTTATCCTCTCCTGGTTGTAGATTTTTCAGGATGCTTGGAAGACTGTTTATGTTATGGATTAGGACTTCTAGAGTTATTCACACTTTTCTTTAATGAAGTTTATAGTCCTTAGTTTTAGTCCTAGGTCCATCATCCACCTTGAGTTGGTTTTTGCGTATGGAGTGAGGTGTGGATCTTGCTTGAGTTTTCTGCAGATAGTTTTCCAATTTTGTCAACACTATTTGTTAAAAAGGCTGTCATTTCCCCACTCAACTGATTTCATCTCCTTGTCAAAAATCAGTTGACCATAGGTAGATGGACTGATTTCTGGGTTCTCAATTCTATTCCATTGATCTCTGTGTCTGTCATTGTACCAGTACCACACTGTCTTGACCACCATGGCAGTGTAGTAGGATTTTAAATCAGGGAGTGAGATGCTTCCTACCTTGTTTCTATTTTTAAGGAGTGTTTTGCTTATTCAGGGCTTCTTTCCATTCCAAATAAAACTGGA